AATTATTTCTCATTTTATCTAAAGAGATTACATGAATGCGTCGATTTATATCAAAGACATGATTGTAAAATAAAACAAGGGGTCCATCTTTGCTTCATTGCATTTTACTCAAAACTGACAAATTAAACACTTTTTAGCTCCTGCTTTTTTGATTATAGATTCAAAATGATTAAAAGTGAACATGAATGTATTATATAGTTATGTATACAAATTTAGTGTATACTTTAATTTAAAAACTTATTTTTTGATATATCTTCAATATTGACTGTAAACAACATCTTAAAGCTATTAAATTTAACTAACAGATCAAAATTTTAAATTTTTAGGGTTTTACTATATAATCTGAGTGAATTAAAATTAAAAATAATATCTAATTTTCAGATCCTATTCTCTTATTGACACTATGGGCAGGCAACTCCAGCCATATACTGTGATGTATTTATGACATATTTATATTTGTATAAAAATAAGTTCGATGCAGTTAGCTAGTTTCTCTTTTCCTGATTTTGTTGCAGTTAACCGTAGTGATGGGAGATATTTGTACACAAAGGAATCATTTAGTGCCGTATACTAAAATAAGCACATTGCTGCTGGAAATATGGATAATTGAATTATTATACAGAATTATTTTTAAAAATGAAATAGAGAAAGTATTTGGTCTTTATGCACAAGAAAAATGACACTCTCCATTAAGCTTGTCAAGAAATGGATCTGGACATATGTTCGATTGTTTCCTTGGAAACCCACGTAAATGACAAGGGTAGAAATGAGATACAAGTGGTATGTAAACTGCAGGTTTTTCCCTTCTCTTCAAAGGCTACTTTACAAGCAGTTGTTACTTATTATGTCTTACTGGTGCACCACGCCACGTCAGCCAGCACTAGTCTCCTGTCACTGTACTTAAACAAACACCAGGCGTCTGAGAGGTCCTCGGCGGCCTGAGCTTAGTCTGCGGTCTTCCAGCAATGTGAAAGTCTGTGCCTCACGGTTTTGTTGCACATGATTCCATTCTGCCAGCTGCCACCAGAAGTACCTGATTGCTGATCAAACTCTTTGTATTCGTTTCACTTCTCCCCCGCTCTCTGTTAGGTTCTGAGCTAATGCCCAAAGCGCTCTCCACCAGGATAGTGGGAGGCATTTGGTGGTTTTTCACACTTATCATCATTTCTTCGTATACTGCTAACTTAGCCGCCTTTCTGACAGTGGAACGCATGGAATCCCCTATTGATTCTGCTGATGATTTAGCTAAACAAACCAAGATAGAGTACGGAGCTGTGGAAGACGGCGCGACCATGACGTTCTTCAAGGTGAGTGCTCCTTTTTGCTACCTGCACTGACTCCATTCACGAGCATGGGAGTGCAATGCCATGTTTGTGCAGAATAATTAAAATAATGTAACTCAAGAGGTGGAGAGTCCAATGACTGAAAACAAGCTCATAGAGAAAATTTATTTTAGTATTTGAAAATTTAAGGGCTTTGCTTTACAATATTCTATTCTTATTATAAGGAAAACAAATCCAAAATGAATGTCTTTTTCTCTTTTTTCTTTTTGATTTAATGCATTATTTTTATTTTAAATAGAAAAATAAAAATAACAATAAAACAGAGTTTCAGAACAGGTTAGTAGGAGAGTTACAATAATAAATATATTGTGTGTCATTGTTTTCATAGTATTCACACTACAAGTATATGTGCGATACCTTGTCCAAACAATATTAACACAAACCTTTTTTTCAGTGAACTAAGAGAAACTAGCTGCATAACTATCTTAACTATTTGGTGTGTGAGTATATTTTTTCCCTTGTTACCCTTCCCAAACATCACAGCTTGTCTTTGCTTTTGAATGGTTTCTTGCCAATTCACAATTTCTATTGTGCATTTTGAATCTTATTTATTCATTTGGGTTCTCACACTAGTGAGACAATATGATATATTTAGGAATGGATTAAAAAAGAATGCATTTTTATATAAGAGGACTATTCAACCATAAAGAAGGATTAAATCGGAGTCTTTTATTGGTAAATGGATACAACTTGAGATCATGCTCATAAGCGAAGTAAACCATACCTATATGTTTGAACATTCTTCCTTTTCCACAAGAATTTGTAATTTTAAATGGAAAAACATTTATTGAAAAACTGATCCTACAAGACTCGTCTTCCAGAATAGATTACTGACATTTAAGAATGTTTCTGATGTGTGAGTTTCTTTCTGTTGAAATGAGACAGGGTGTCAGTGCTGAGGAAGTGATCAGCTCTTATTAACTGCGTGTTTACTCAGCTGATGATCTGTCAGGAATGAGTCTGAAAATGAGACGCGCTGTGGAAAGCCCGTGGTTCCGTGGGTTCCAGCCTAGTGGAGCTTTGCACAGACTGACTGTGTGGTGCCTGGCACACAGGATCCCTGCCCGCCTGCCATGCCTCTCTTCCCATTTTCCTTCTCCTCTCCTGGGCCAAAGTACATCAGATGGCAGATTTCAGTAGTTTTTATGTGCTTTGTAGTTTGGGCAAACTTTTATGCCTTATTTTCCCTTCAATAAATGGAACTGACAGTTCAAATAGGCAGCAAAAGTGATAATTTTTTTTTCTTTTAAAAATTACTGACTGAATCTACAAAATAAGTTCTTTTCTTAAGCATCTATCAAGCGCCTGGTAAGTGCTGGCAACTGCAGTGATTGTTGAGTATTCCACTGCAAATGTGATCCAATTATCACTTTCCAGAAGATTATAGTTTAGTTGAAGACAGAGGAATAAATCAACATCATAAAATGAGATCTTATATGACTTAGAATAGCAATTTGCCAAATTATACAATTTTCTTTGTAAAACTTCTACAGCTTAGTCTGCTTTTCGAAAAAGTTCTGGAAAGCATCAAATTTTTAAAGAACAAGGCAGTTTTGATTTAGCTAATGCCGTATTATTTTAAAAATGTAATGATTTTCAAAGTGAATATCTCTTATGGCTTGGTTAAAAAATGAGTATTGTACCTTTAGTTGAAAAAGAATATTCTATAGTGAAATTTATTAAATAACAAAATTATTTGTTCATCGTGGTAACATTTCACTGTGTTAAATGTAATGGATCACACTTTCCTAGTTAAGTACATTGAATCATTAGAAACTTTTATAACTTTTTGGGTTTTTTCAAGAAAATTAGCTGTCAAAAATGCTAAATGCATATTTTTCATATGAAACAGTTTGCATGGATTGAATATGTGATGAATTTAAACTGTGAGAGTACCAGAGGGACTTGTGAAGTTGAGTTTGTAAAATAACACCAAACCTACTTAACAGAGTGATTTGGCATCAGGAGTGTTTACTTCTATTCCACAAATCTTTCTTCAAGGCTGTTATTTCTTTATTTCCAGAACATTCAAATACCTTCTTTCAAAGCTTTGATTACAGTCAAACGTCATCTTGGTAAAAACAATTCCAGGACAAACGTCTTATGTATTGTCAGGTCATTGTTTAGTTCTTTAAACCTGCTTTATTTTCTTTTCAATGTTTTCTCTTTTTCAATCAATTGCTCTCTGTGGTGTCATTGGTTTACTATCTTGATTTCTCCTTGCCATTGACTATTCTTCCTCCTTGTTCACGTGTTGTTTTTCTCTTTAGTATATAGTGGCGTCTCTAGCACCTGGAGAAATTTGACAGGAAACAGCTTTCCATTTCCAACAGTAGAGGCTTCAGTTAGAACTGCAGCCTTCTGAGTGTACACTAGATGTAACACGATCTGTGCAGTGATAAGCCCTAAGTTGACAATTGCCCTCTGTTGCTAACTTTACTATATGTTGAATTATGAGTTGAGGTTAAAAATAGTTCAGACTTAGAGAAAACATTAAATGTTGATTGTTCTTTAAGTATTACTATAGATTTAAAATATTCTCATTTTGACTTTATGCTATGAATGTTAAACTATGGAGTTGCATCAGATATGGTAAGAAAAATATATAGTTGCATTGACCCTAATATAACTTTAAATAAGTTTATGCTCACTTTTGAAAACCTACAGTGAGCTGGAAATGGTTATATATAGTCTATTTGTATTTACTTCCACTGCTTTCTTTTTAATTAACAACTACACATATGAGCACTCCAGAAAGCATCCCTAAGGCACTGGCTTCTAAGGAATTTTCATCATGATTTACTGATGTAACTAGGCCCTGCTGTTAACTAATTACTTTAGAATGCTCACTTCCAGAAAATTATTTTTCAAATGATAGTCTTCTTACTACAAGCAGAAAGAGTTGGCTCAAATTCTCTGACTCTACATGTGGGAAGTCCTTAGTTTTGCTGAGATCCTGAGAGAGCTGCATAGCTCTTACACAATATTGAATAATTTTGTTTCCAAAAACTATTGTCTTAGTTACTTTTCTCTCTCATTGTTGAGACAAAATATCTGACTCCCAAAGTTAGGGAAGAAGGTTTCTTTCTTACAGATGGAGGCTTCAGTTCATGCTCAGTTGGCTCCAAGGCAAAGTGACACGGTTCAGGAGCCCGGTCATGGGGCCAGCAAACAGCAAGCACAAACAGCAAAACTATATGTTTCTCTTGCCAAAATAATTGTATATATTTCAGGAAATTATTTCAGGAAATAATTGTATCTTTTCAGGAAAAGAAAAAAAACTTGCATAAATATTTAATTCTAAATTTATTGAGCCATCACAAGATTAATATAACTTACCTTTGCCCTCTACAATTATAAAAGGTGTTCAGCGTGGTGGTCATTAATTTCTAGACATTTATTATACAGCGAACTGCTGCTTGGGTAACTGGTTCTTGACACTGCTGTACATGCAGTTTCCATTTCCTCTCCTAGGGACAGCAGTGTAGTGGGTTTTCTGCAATATACAGCATCCTCCTGGGTGCCACATATGATAATAATGTCATCTGGTGAAAAAAACATATTAGTTTCTGTTTCTTGATGTATATATTTTCATGGACTCTGTATATTCTTTTCAAGAGCAGTTCTTCTGTCCTTTTTTTTAAAGCACCTATTGTACCTAGACACATTCTCATCAGGAATAAATAGAAAATAATTCAAAAACAAAGTGATGGTGGTTCTCCAGTATTATTGCACAAAAATAAGAAGTAATTGTGTGACGTCACCAATGTTATTCATCATTGATATAGTAAACTAAACATGTGCTCAAGAATTTTATTGAAAAATGTTAAAGGAAATGTCAAAATCTCCTTGTTGGCATCTGAGACTTTTATGTACTACTATTGAAATACTGTCCCAAGGCTAAACACTGTGCAAAAGGTTACCAAGCAACAGGCACATTCTTTTCTCCTTGAAATACAAAATTAGGAGAATGACTGCATATAGATTAAAGAATCACCAATGATTCATCCACAGTCTATACTTGTCATGGCTTCCTTTGAGAACCCTTCTCATCTGGCAGGTGGTCATGTTGTTTAAAATGTTACTGAATAACCTTGTTTCTATGCAAGCCATGGCCCAAGGCTTCTGTTTCCATAAATTCACTCTCCAGGGTTGAAGGTTCTGTTTGCCCTGTGTATCCATCCACACAGTGCGTCTGTCTAAGAGGGTGGTGCAGAGGAGTCAGGTGTTCTTAGGTTACTGAAAGATTGGCTTATCACTTTTTAAAATATGAATGATACGAAATTTCTAAGGTAAATAGCCTGGCTCCTCTAAAGCGCAGGTTCTATATTTTAAAATAACTGTAGGAAGCCAAACAAAACAACCAAAACAAAGCAAAACCAAAGAGCACCCTCACCCTGTAAAATCAGAGAGGCATGAACCTAACTCAGACTGAACCCTGGCCTGAATTCAGGCAGGACACTGTCCTCTATGGACCTCTGACTCTTTTCTCTCACTAAGTGAATGAGGGAAAATCTTCACAATGTCTTCTCAACATTAAATGACATTTTTATGCAGTGAGAAAGGCACTTAGCAAAAGTCTAATAGATATCAAGTCTTAGCATTACTAAATTATGTTTGGTTAGAAAACTTCTTAATTTGCCATGGTTTAAATATGGTAAAAAAAAAGTTATTTTTATATGACTTATAATTGAAAAACTTTTAAATAAATTTAAAATATGGTTTGCAGCATATTTATCTAATTAAATTGCTTTAGTCTTCTGATTATTCCTGTCATAAAGAAGGAGCAACTTGGCCAAGTATGCTAGCAAAACAAACACATAAAAACTCAGAAAACCAGATGAACCTATTTTTAGAACCTACTTCTAGACTATATATTTTGAAGTTACAGCAAGATGAAATTAGCAATTCTTTTGGGAATTTATGCCACATTTCTGCAAAGGGAACTTTTAGAATTATTTAAT